TCAATTTATATTAATTAATAATTATTATTTATTAATATTAGTAATATTTAAATTTTATTAATATTTATTTATAATTAATAGTAATAAATAATAATTAATACTAATGAGAGGTTATATTTAAAAAAAGTGACAATAAACTACTAAAACGCTACTTCAAGTAACGTTTCAATAAGCTAATTATGTGCATCCAAACGTGTACTTAGAAAATAAGCTTTTGTCAAACTGAAGTTTGGATCCGAAAAGGTACGCTTAGGCAGTTCTTTCGCTGAGCACTGCCTAAGTTATGTACGGATAAAGTTGCATGTGTAGCTTTATCTGTCTGTATAGATTTAGAAGATTTTTGTTTTAATGTGTTTTTTAATAGATGGAATATACGTGTTCTTTAATGGAGATAGACAAGTTTGAACTTTTTTGTATAAAGTCTCTGGATATTTAAAGATGTCGAATGATGGGTTAACAATGCTAAACCCACCTGACAACTTCGCCATGCTCTCAACAACCTCCGCTTCGAGGACAGTGACATATGTAGCCGTTGGTGTGGCCATTCCGTAAGGTGACACACAATTGACTCGTATGCGAAATTGTTCAAGCTCTTTTGCTATATTCGCTGTCAAACTGACTATAGCATGCTTAATGTAAGTGTAAGCATGTGAGTTTACCCCACCAATATTTGAACAAACGCTAACGGTTGATATTATTGACCTATTTCTTGTTGGAATCATAACCCTAGCAGCATGTTTCATGCAGAAAAAAATGCCGGTGACAATGACACTAAGCACATGAAAGTCTGTATTTTACATTGTTGATGATGCGTTTCTTGTCAGAGTCTGTTATCCCTGTATTATTGAACATGATGTCAAGTTTTCCGTATGTGGCAACTGCAATATTTATGGCATTTAACCACAAGGGTGGTGCCTGATTGGTTTGAGGTTGACTCCAAAGGTCAAAAGTACAAGGAGGTCTCATGTTCAAATCCAATGAGGAATAAAAATTCCCTTGTGACCACGGAGGTTCAAATGCGGTGACTCCGAGATATTTGCAAAGCAGGTGGTCGCCCTGAGATTAGTCGGCTCGCATAGCGGTTTGGATATTCAGGTTAATAAAAAAATGTTGCATTTACACTCTCTCTCTCTCTCTCTCTCTCTCTCTCTATTAGTTACTTAGTATTTGAGAAATACAATTTTTGGTGTAAAATTGCAAAATCATATTATCATAAAAATTCAAAACAGATCACAGATCAACTCAAGATTGTGTTGCTCCAAAATACGAAGAGAAGTATTTCTCAAGATTGTGCCATGAAAAACATCAACGGCGAATTAGCTCCGAAATACAAAGAGAAGTATTTAACAACAAATGTATTTTCTTGAGTTGTTTTTATTAAAAATACCCAACAATATTGATTTTCTCGATTTAAGAATCCTCTGGATATTTAAACATACCGAATGATGGATTAACAATGCTAAACCCACCATCAATAAACAGATTATGCCCGCTAATGTATTGAGCATCATCGCTCACCAAAAAAAGGGCAGCCTTAGCAACATCGTCTACTTTAAGTGTCACACCTTTAAGGTTACCAAATGAGTTCATCATGTTCTCGACACCCTCCGCATCGAGGCCAAGAGCGTTTGTGGCTATTGGTGTGGCAATTCCATAAGGTGACAAACAATTGACTCGGATGCCAAATTGTCCAAGCTCCACTGCTATATTTTTCGTCAAACCGACTACAGCATGTTTTGCACACATGTAAGAATGTGGGGCGACGCCACCAATATATGAAGCGATGCTAGTCATTGATATAATTGAGCCCGCTCGTACGGGAAGCATAACCCTAGCGGCATGTTTCATGCCCAAAAATACGCCTGTGACGTTAACACTAAGTACTTGCTCAAAGTCTGTTTTTTCATTGTCGATGATGCGGTCCTTGTTAGGATGCATTATTGCCGCATTATTGAACATGATGTCAAGTTTTCTGTATGTAGCAATTGCAGTATCTACAGCGTTTTTGACATCATTTTCGTTGGTGACATCACAATGGACATATATACAGTTTGATGAACCAATGGCCTCACAAACCCCTTGACCAAGTTGGTCTTGGATGTCCGTGACGACGATTTTTGCACCATGTTCAGCAAAGAGTTTTGCAGTACACTCCCCAATACCACTTGCTGCTCCGGTTATCAGTGCCACTTTTCCCTCAAGCCTACACAAATTATATCCAAACCATTTGTAATTCTATTTTGTTTAAATATGTACACAAAGCTTCAAACAAAATTAGAACTTATTATTTTCAAGTAAATTGGTTATACTTTTTTTGGGGTAACCGTGTGTTTCAGACCATCGACCAATCCCTCGAGCGACCACGAACGACGTGGAGTCATCGCAGGTGAAGCCACAAGGGATTTGGTAGCGCATGGATTCAAACTTGGAGTAGATGATATTTTCCACTATATCCCCTTGAAACTTAACTGGTGCGACACAATCCAAGTGGTTAAAATGATTTTCCATTTAAACTCAACAACAGTTACTAAAATAGAGGCATCTACAACTAAAAAATCGCTGACATCAAGAACATACGATTATACAACAAAGAAAGTGCGATACACCTTGATTCTGTGTTCGAATCTGACACCAGATATCACAGATAATTTTTCTTCAAATACAGAAAATAAACACTGCATATTTAATAAAAAAATGGTATATAAAAAAAAATACAAAAAAACCAACCTCCTTTGAATGGTTGTCGTTGGCTTTTGAAAGCATATAAGTGGCTTCCATTATAGAGTTTTATGCTGAGTTATATTTATAGCATCAGAATCGGATAAAGCAACCATCTTTATGTGGTTGTTATTTGCTTTGGCCTTTGTTGAACATAACTATTAATCGCCGTTTACCTAAATACTTACCCGGTAAGCATTTATCGGTAAAATTCAACACTATCGCTTACTTACCGGGTAAGATTTTATTCACTAAAACGCATCGTATGCAACAATTTATCCCTGTAAACGCTAACCATGGTAAGAGTCGTCATCCTCACTTACCGGGTAAACTCTCGATTCTTGCCTTCGCTCTTACCGGGTAAGATTTTTAGTCCTTGTCATATTAATCTGGTAAAGTAAAGTGACTTGGTAAACGCTTACCCGGGTATGCGTTTGGTAAACGGCCCATTAACACATTACTTGGAAAATACACAAGAATAAAAATTAACAGCCAAAATTATGTTTTGGTTGGTTTAACTAATTTCGACCCGTACCGTAAACAAACCACCGTTCAATAAAGTAACATAGGACGATACTTGTAGCCAAACTTCATATTCGGGGTTGAAGTTGATCAACAATCGAGCATTTTACTAAATCATGTGATACGTTAAATGTTACATTTGTTTCAAGTTATAGAAACTGTTTATTTACACAGTTTAGGAATGATACACGTGTCGCTGATAAAATTATCGTCTAAAGCTTCGTTGAAACGATATGGTAAATTAACCGAACGGCTTGGTTGTGAATTCGATCGATGACAAAAGGGTCGACAGAAGTTTTCAAACATGTTATCGTGACTCATCGAAGGATATAAGTGGCTACAAATGAATAATAAAGTAAACAAGTACATAGATAATACAGAAGGGAAAGAAAAAGAAAAATAGTGGGACCAAAAATCAAACCAGTCTGTCAATTAATGTATTTTAAGTTTTTGGCGTCTAGTTAACTGGGCAAAGAGGTGAAGCGACTTTGTCTAAATACAAGATAGCTTTTGGGTTCGAACCTAGACCCTCAGATAGCCTCAGCCGCTGAGTGAGTCAAAAAAATCAATTTCGTTGTAGTGTGCTTACAGAGAGTATGGATTCAGTGAACCACTCTACATCGACATGGTTACATACGTGCGTGATAAGCGGGTCGGATCTGGCTGTTTAGGGTCCGCATGTTTTAGTTTCATTTCCAGGATTGGCATGTTAAGCCCCTTAACTTTTGAATTATTCTTATGGTCGCCCAGGTGAAATAAAAAAGGTAAAACAGTGTGTATTAATACTGTGTTTTAGGGGGTTTGTGGGGTTGGCAGTCCCAGCCCCTGAAGTTTAAAATCTCGTGTTTTGGCCACGTGTTTAAATTTAAAAGGACAAAGCTATTTTCAGTTAAGTTGGAACTGGATCCATTTAGGGATTAACTGATTGACTAAGGGGGCGTATGGTAAATGAAAATGAGAATGAATTTTCAATCTATCAATTTAACGAGGAATGAGAATTTAGGCTTATGAGGGAATGAACTCATATTATATAACCAAACAGTTTTTTTTATTTTCATTCATATTGATTACTGTTTAATTCATTTAACCAAACACCCCTAATTAATTATTAAGCAAATTTAACAAAAGTCTTAAAATCTTAAAATACTAAATGACCAAGACACCCTTTATACTTTTTCACTTTTTCACCCCCTCCTCTCCTCACATACACTCACCCTCTCACAACAATTTTTTTTAAATTATAATTTTAAATTTACACTTTATACCCCTATAATTAGTTAATTAATTTACTTTACGTCATTTACTTTTAAATGTTTCATTT